GTACTATCTTTTACTCTATGTTTGAAATCTATTGACACTTTTGATATGTTATTACGGTTACTTATGTACAGAGAATTATTGAAAAAGTTATCTAAAATTAATTTGTTATCGATTTCTTTGTGTTTAGTTCTATACAATCTTTTTAAATGCTTCTTATGTTTTGGTAATTTATAGTTCACGTTGCTGTAGAACTTATCCGTTTCTACGTCAAAGTTGTCTTCATACGGCCACAAGTCTCGATCCATCTCTGAAAAATTATGATCAGTTAGAAATATAAAGTTCTATACAGATGAATAGATAGATAGATATCTATCTAATATCCGTTCATATAAAGAGGTTCATTACTTGATGTTTTATTTAAGAGCTTTATTATTAAGAAAATACCTATTCTACTTATATTGTCTTCAATTCTCACCTGATTCATTTAATGTTCCAATGTATGAATTTTCTCTAGTTCGTTTTTTCCATCTTTCATCTCCTCTACCTATAACGTTATACAAATTTTACAACCACAATTTAATTTAAACAATATATTTAATTTGAAATCAAATTAAAAGAACTGACCTGCGAAAATTATGCATAAAAGTAAATAAAAGGTCGTGAAGTTCATTTTTTCAAATGATCACTACCGTAAGATATCCTGAAACAAAGATTTATGTTATAAATAAAATTCCTATTTTAATAAGTCAAATAATTATTAACTAGCTATCTAAGCCAGTTGGCATCCATCGTAAGGTCAAATATCCCGATTAAGTTTATATTATACTAGATTTCGCCCGCGACTTACTCCGTGTGGAAATGAAAGAAAAAGTACTCATGTCTTTTATTAGGCTGTGTTTTAATTCTATGTTAAATTTTATTGAGATACATTTAGCCATATAGGTTGCAAACTCTAACAAATATCCATCTAAACTTTCGTATTTATAATATTAGTAAATGGATATATCCTGTAACCTTAAAACAAGGGCTGTCATAAAAAGTATTTCTAAAATTAGTTCGAAAAAGCTTGTAAACTTTATTATATTACAATAAAATTCATTTATTTAATCGAGTAAGTATGTTCTTATATTAGTCATTTTAAATGCGAAAGTATAGATCGATGGATATTTGTCAGAGTGATTGAATGGATTTCGATGAAATTTGATATAGATGTAGAGGCTAGTCTCTAAAAACACATAGGCTGCCACTTTGTTTATTTTTAATTCCACATGAACGGTGTCTCGGGCGAAAGGTAGTTTGTTTATAACAATGAAGATATAATTGCGGTAAAGATTAACTGAAAATCCGAATACGGACACTCGGCTAGCGACCGCATCGATTTCTGATGACCTCGCATTAATG